AGTTACTTGTGTGTGCCTCGTCTAGTATAAAGGCAGACATACAAAACGTAGACATGTTGTTATGGCGCCTCAGATATTCGCAATATTTGGTTTTTTAATTCACAATCGCACAACTATGAACGCTAAACCTTGAGGATTTGTGGGCGCTGCGGATGGGGTTGGTCGTTTGGTGCCGTTTGAGGTATCCTTAGGGCGGACAGACAGACAGACAGACAGACAGACAGACAGACAGACAGACAGACCAATATTTTTCCGTTGAAGGTCCCCAAGAAAGACTATCGTCTTTAAAAGCAATTATTGCGCATATCTGAGGCACCATAAGAACACGTATATATTGTGTATGTACGTCTTTTACTAGAAAACGCATACATAAGTTTTTCTAAGGACCGTAGCGTTTATCACGCTGCGCTGACCATGCAACGCTTGCACGAAAAGACAACTGTTTCCAACGCTTTGCTAAGACGGCACGATGGTGGCACCTACCCGTCACTGGCGTTCTACACCTTATCACCTCTTAGACGGGCACGCACGCCCGTCTCAGAGCAGTGCGCTTCATTTTACAAGATAACAGCCAGATAGCGCTCATGTCTCATGTGTGACTCGACTTGATGCACTCGTTCGCCTCCGCTGCGCGCTCGAGGCACTCTAACGCAGCGCCTTCAGAATACCATTCCCCGGTTTTCTTGTGCAGAACATGAAATAAACGTTTTGTTCACTTTCTTCAGACGCGATACTATTGTCTTTCGACGACATTTGCAGATTAACATTGGAATACGGGGCCAATTTTTTTTTATATCGATGCTCATGATGGGGGGATCAGCCATACTTTTTCGGGAGAGATGTACAAAACTGATTCACCTTTTGTTTTTTTTTGGTTCTATATACTTTTGTCAGATTCATTCCGCGATCTAAACGTACCTCATCACCAATACCATGATGTGTGCTTGTATAAAAACGAGATGGGCCCCACGGGACGCCATGCCCTCTATGCTTGTTTTTTTTTTTTTTGGCGCACGACCACTCTGCTTCGACGGTTAACATATACGAAAGAAGCACTTCATAAAAAAAATCAAAGCATATCCATAGAGCGAATGCTGCTGAGTGGGGCAAAGCATCGGTCCATCCGTCTGTACGTCCGTCTGTCTGTCAAATTTATGAAATCATCAACTATGCGAAAACCACTAACGCCATCTAGTGAGCAATTCTTAAAAAAAAAACTAGAAGTGGCTACTACAACAACATACTAGTACGAGGGACACCACCCTCTCCCTAAGAAGGTTCTCCCCTGTAACTATATTTTGTTATAGTTACGCCAGAGTTAGTAAATTAGCACTGGCCGAAGCTCCACATAGGCCACGACGAAACACCGACCCTGCTCCATTAAGAAAGTAGCAACCCAGATGGCGATTTTTGCTTTTGTAGGACACAAAATGTACTCTTCGTGCCTCCAAGCAGAGTACGGTTGGCGTGTCTGGCGGCGCTATACGAGTAAACGAGCTTTCATAATACGGCAATACTTTTTAGACAGTCGCAACGTAGTGTGCGTTTATGAATCAACGACTCTAACAGACACAGTATGAAAAAAAAGAAACATGTTGCTTGTTATCGCGATGCAAAAAATGACCGAGGCAATCCCGCGAAGCATATAAGCAGGAATTTTGCTGTAACTGTGCAATTTTTCGCAGTGCGAATTTGTTCCCTGTCGTGCTACAAGCTTATTCTGCAGGTTGTGGGCTTCATCTGAATTTATTTTACAATGAAAGGCATTCTATGCAGTCAATAAAAGACAGCACAGGCACCAAAAATAACCTTCGTGTAGGTGAAAGCGAAGGCCTTGCGGCGAGTGTTCATTTTGTAGTGTCCATTGTTTCAGATCTAATATCGGTTTATAAGTGCAATTTCACCACAATAGACAAAAGCCTTTGAATTTGTGTCTTTGACACAGAAAAACTTGTTCTGTACATATTTTAAAACCACAATAGACCCATTCTGTGGAGCCAAAAGGACAGAACGGAAAAAGCGTCATGCGACGACCTTCAACCTATACGACGCTTGCGTGGCATGCGTGGCCGCTACAACTCAGAAAAGTATAGCACTTTTAGCACGTTTACCAGTTGTGCAGGTATGGGTGACGTCCTCCTACTTTGTCCGGTCACAGTGAACGTAACGTAATCAACATCGTTCTGTGAAAAAGGCCGTGACGATTGGCTTATCAGCGCCAAGAAATCAATAGAACACTCATCCACGTATTTCTATCTTCTTTTGTATTATGGGGTGAAACAGATTAATATTTTTTCTAAGACAAAAGATAACCGTCGTGCCTCGTACACTAAATCACAATGCAATACCACTGTAAAAAAGGAAGCAGTGTTTAATGTACGAGGCAGCATTATTCTTTGTAATACATGAACTACTCGTTCCGCCTGCTCTGGCATGCCCATCTGCAAAGAGTTCATAGTAGTTTAAAGCTGTGATTGGAGAATGGCATACGTTGTACACAGTGATAGTCTAGAGCCTTCATTAAGTCATCAGCTGCTGTGAAGGTGTAATAAGTTTAAGAAACACAAAACAAACGGAAAAAATTGCCCATCACAAATCAGGGTAATTATATCTTGAGGCTTCGTAATGAGGATATTATTGCTGTGGATGATTGTCACCTGCAGCGTCCTTTGCCTTAATCATACGCATGGTGAGTTACAATAACTTACATTGTTAACTTATTAGCAGTGTGTTATTATTGATAATAGCAGTATCCTTTTTGCTTTATTAATAATAATGAATTCGTTATCAGTTCTTGAAAGTATCACTAAAAGAAAACGCGCTAAATATGCATGACTTTTGCAACATTGTTCATTGTCTCTCCTTACCTAGGGACCTCAGTACACATCAACCTACAAAATAGGGCAGCTTTGTTAGACGTATTTCCCATTCGGCATTGCGAATCACTTCCACTTCCACGACTTGTGGCTATAGCACAAAAAATTAATAATGCATTGTGATTAAGGTTTCATTTGGGAAATTTTCTCTCTTGCAGTGCCACAGGGCTGTTTTTGCTATGCCACTTAGAAAGTGAACAAGTGAAATCGTGGAATACCTACTGCTTGATGAAGCAATGACAAATAAAAGAGGCATTGCACATTTTAGCTGCGTAAGAGAGCTAAAAAGATACTGTTGGCATTAATTTTGTGTTTGCCGAAGTTTAGCAGCGAAGGAAGACTGTTAAACGTGGCAAGCAACGCGAGCACTTACAATCCAAATGTAAACCAGCTAATATTTGTTTCTTTTCAACCGTGGTATATGTTTATTGGAGCGCTGTGGTAAGCGATAGACGTTATCGTAAAATGATGTTCAGAAGTTAAATATTCTATGGACGGTTTCAAGATTGCCCCAAAAAACTTCCGGTCAATTCGTCTACCTGCTCCTAACTTTAAAACTTGTTCTCAAGTTTTTTTTCGAAAGTAAAAAAAGAAGTTTCTCTTTCCACAGGAAACGTGCGTAAAGCTCAAAGGAATTTTTTATCATTTTATGTAGCTCAAAAGAACATTTTTTTGAAAACATTTTGCCAAGTAAGAGAAGGCAAGTGTATAAATAACTCCCAAGTATTTCCCCTAGGGTGAGCACGGTTAAGTGCGAATGCACGGGGTGATGCTATGACGGGGAGTAAAGGTAAAATCCGTTGGCATTCGACAGTGAGTTAATGTAAACTGCCACGTGTGATCACATTGAGATTTCTAGGAACTACTAGACCCTCCCGGGAAATCTTGGTGAGTTTACGCGTATACGTTAGAGTAAATTCGCACTATAACGATGTTTATGTCCGCGGCTCGCTTCGCCCGTTTGCGCTCGGCATCACGGACCCTTCGCCCCACTGCCTTGTCTTCAACCGACGTGACATCTTCAACTACTCGTGCAATGCACGCATTCGATTGTGTTTTACTCGTTGTTGGAGGTATCGCAGTCGAGGTTAATGCCTGTGATGAATCCATACCTATGACGACTTGCCGATCTCGAGCAAGTCGTGGCTGCGCGGGCGCGCGCAGCCACAGAGCGGAGGGCGGAGCGCGCGCAATCACGTGGAGTGCGACGCCGCTGCGCCGTTGCTACAGACGCTCCTCTCCGCTCCTCGCGCCGTTGATAGGGAAGAGGAGGAGGCGCACCGCGGACGTCGGATTCAGGGTCGCTTATAAAGTGCATTCACACTTAAAAAGAAGCGGGCTTTTTTCTAAAGCTTTTTTTTTTGCCTACCGATGGTAATAAAGCACACCAGTGGATGAAACCGAACGTCATCAAGGGTCTGTGTTTGTAAACACTTAAAGGGTCTTTTCACTGAAAAAAAATATTTGGAAAGGGATAATAGCAATTTATGCAAAAGTACGAAGAACCAGCCTATACTTACAATAACTTACAAAATGATGCTCTACTTTAAGACGGGCAAAATATTTTTAGGCAGACATCGTCGATTGTTGCACATAGTTTGAAGCTACTACAAGTATGGGTGAAATTTCTTATTTTATGCAGCTAACTCGTTGCGGTGAATCTTTACTGAGTGGACATGTGATATAGGGCCTAATAGTTGTGATTTGTTTAATTTTATTTCAATTGGTCTCTTTATTTTTTTATGTGCCCTGAACAGCTTAGGGTTCTAGTAGCAATGCACGTTGAGTAAATCAGGGAGCATTAAAAACGAAAAAAACGTGTCTAATGTTTGAACATAGTTACACGTAGCAAAGTGTCAGAGCTCATAACAATATTTCGTTACGACTGTTTTGTATAAAGGTGTGTTAATAAGGAAACTAGTTCAATATAACAGTGCACTACAGCAGGTGAATGCAAGGGGACATGCTCACCTACGGAGCGAATCCCGCTTGTTGGGAGGGGACAAGTGCAGTGGATGTACAGCCCGAATAACGAGAGTACATGCCGGAAGGTTAGGAGACGACTATGTAGAGCCCTGCGAAGGTTCTTTGGAAGCTGCATTGAATGTATTCAAGAATGTTTCAGTAAGTGCAACTGCTTCATTTGTGTCTCGGGCACCAATATTAAATGTGCTAAGTTTTACGACTTATTTGCACTGCAACAATTACTGTATTTTCATTTCATTTCATTTCATTTTATTACCTTAAAGACCCCATTGAAGGGGTATTACATAAGGGGTGGGTACATATATGAAAACGTGAAAGCCATTTTTTTTTACAATGCAAGGTAATTTGTTACGGTGTTCAAAAAGGTGGTAGGACAGGTTATGGCGGTGATTTCGTTAGAAAGGCCGTTCCAGTCCGTAGCTGCACGAAAAAAGAATGAGGACGAAAAAGTGACGGTGCGCGTACGCGGCCGCTCAACTTGTTGCGGGTGACCAGTGCGATGGGAGATGCGTGCCGGAGGAAGAATGTATGGTGGCCTGCCGAGCGAGCTGTAAAAAAACTTGTGAAAAAGGGAAAGACTAGAAATGTGGCGACGAGATGCAAGCAATGATAGGCCAGATTCTGTTTTCAGTGCTGATATGCTGACGTCGTAAGAGTACGTAGAATGAATAAATCGTGTGGCTCGATTTTGAAGTGACTCGAGTTGATTGATGAGATATGCTTGATGCGGGCTCCAAATGGCTGATGCGTATTCTATCTTCGTCCTTACGAGAGATTGATAAGCTAGTAATTTGACATTATTAGGAGCGTGACGCAAATGGCGTTTTAAAAACCCGAGTGTTTTGTTAGCAGATGCAATGATGTTCGTAATATGCGTTGCCCAGGTTAAATCGCTACAAAGGGTTACTCCGAGATATTTATAGGAAGGAACTAATTCGAGGTTTGTGTCAGCAATTTGGTACGGGAATACTATCGGATTTCGACGGCGGTGAAAGGAAACAGTTTTACATTTGTTAGGGTTGAGTTCCATTAGCCAAAGGTTACACCAATCCTGTAAGCTTAGTAAGTCAGTTTGAAGAGACGTGTTATCCGAAACGTTGTTTATTTTACGATAAATAACGCAGTCGTCTGCAAACATGCGTATGTTAGAAGATACATGTAATGGTAGGTCATTAATGTAAATCATTAATGTAAAGAAGCGGGCCTAGGACTGACCCTTGAGGGACACCTGAGGTTACCGGGGTAGTGTTAGACATTTGATTGTTGACGAAAACTGATTGCGAACGATTAGTCAAGAATTCTTTAATCCATGCTAATACGTCATCATTTAAATTCAACGCGGCAAGCTTTAGTAGTAGGCGCTCATGAGGAACTTTGTCAAATGCCTTTGCGAAATCGATGAAGATGGCGTCAGTCTGAAGGTTAGAGTCGAGGTTAACATGCAGGTCGTGAACAAACATAGCTAGCTGCGTTTCACACGAATACCCTTTCCTAAAGCCATGCTGCGCAGGATGAAAAAAATTATTGGAATCAAGGAAGTCCATCATATGTGTGTAGATGATATGCTCGAGGAGTTTGCAGGGTACGCTGGTTAATGAAATGGGACGATAATTTAATGGTGATTGTTTGTTACCTGATTTGTGGACTGGAACGACCTTTCCGTGCTTCCAATCTGGAGGCAGCATTCCTGTTGAAACTGATTGTGAAAATAGTAGACACAGATACGCTGCACAGATATGTTTAGTATTTTTCAGGAGTTTGGATGTAATGTTGTCTACACCAGCTGAAGAAGAAAATTTGATTTTGTCTATTAGTGATGAAATACCGCTGGAAAAAAACGTAATTGGTGGCATGGTACATTCAAAGTTCGCATGAGGGATGGTAAATGACAACTCAGTTTCTTGGGTGAAAACGGATGCGAAGGCGGCGTTAAACACGCGTGCTCATTCCGTGTCACTTAGGGCATCCCCTAACTCATTACATAGTGTTATATTGCGCGTGTCCTGTGGGTATATGACTTGCCATAATTTTTGGGGGTTGTTCTTAAGCATGTTCGGTACGTCCGAATGGAAGAATGAGTGTTTGGCGTGACGTATGGCTTGCAGATAAGCACATTCGGCGGCTTTGTACTTGTTCCATGCATCAGGGGTGTTACGGGACTTGGCTGCGCGGAAGGAGCGTTTTTTCTTGTTTTCTAATCGTTTCAGTGCGTTATTGAACCAGGGTTGGGCGGTATTAGGATTGATGTTAATTTGGGGAATGTGTTTATCAACCATTTCGTTTAGCTTATCTCTGAAAATCAACCAGTTTTCGGTTACATTATGATGAGAAAAGGCAGTGTCAAAAGTGGAGTAAAAATTCGTTAGTTCAGAGTTAATTGCTTCGTAATTTCCTTTATCATACAAACGGATAGTTTTTTTTATGGTAGGGGCTAAAGCAGGCTTAATCACGAAGTCAGCATGAATGACTTTATGGTCACTGATTTCAGGCAGGTATGCAATAGAGGACACGCACTCGGGATAGCTGGTTAATATAAGATCCAGAATGTTTTGGCAGTTATCGGTAACGCGGGTTGGTTCTGTAAGAACTTGAGATAGGTTAAAGTTAAGGCATACATCAAGGAAGTCGTTCGATTCCCTTGACGTAGCCGCTGGTGCAGGCTGGCTTGCCCAATCGATATTAGGAAAACTAAAATCGCCAAACAGAATTACATGCATGTTAGGGTGTTTGGTCATTATTTCGCTTAGTATATTATTGAGCTTACAAGAAAAATCGGGAGTACTGTGAGGGGGCCTACAGCAAACGCCAAGTAAAACTGAGTGCGGTGCGGCATGGCATTTAAGCCACAAGATTTCAAGGTCGGACACAATGTTTATAGACGAACAGGATATGTTGTGACTGACAGCGACGAGTACTCCTCCTCCTCTCGTGCCGCTGCGATCGTTTCGAAACACTCTAAAATTGGGTAGGTCAGCGAGTACCTCGCCGTCAGTCACGTCCCTAGTAAGCCACGTTTCCGTTAGTATCAGAAGGTTGCTATCAGATGATAACACCAGATTAGAAATAATGTCACGTTTTGGAATAAAGCTGCGTATGTTAGTAAAGATAGCAGAGAACAATAAGTTTGATCGAGGGGCGGATCGAGGGCGGTGAGGCCTATTTTGATGATGGGGCAATTGCTACAACATTTCCTGAACAGAATCTGCGGAGTGGTCATACACGTAGCGTTTGGTACCAATGTGCAATGTTTTGAACCGCAATGAGTAGGAAGTAGATTTTGATTTAGCGAAGGCGATCAGTTTTTTACGAGCAACTCTAACGGGATGAGAGAAATCTTCACCAACACTGAAATTGCTTTCCTTAAATTGGGGGCCATTAGAAAGTAGAGATTTTTTAGTTTTGAATTGATTGAATTTTACAATGAGTGGCCGATTATGGCCTCCTGTGTGGCGTCCTAGGCAATGTGCGAGTTCAATGTGATTAGGGTCAACGGTGAACTTCAAGTGATCATGACAATGACGGGTGACGATTTCTTCAGATTCTGCAAATGTTTCTTTAGGGTTTGGGTCGGGAATGTTATAAGAGATCAGGTTATTGCGACGGGACCTGTTTTCGGTATCATCCATCTGTGCAGCGAGACGGTCAATCCGGTTAGCCATTTCAGTGGTATCCGTTTTTATAGTGTCCAGGTCAGTACGGATGGTTGAAATGGCGTGATAATGTCCTTCTAAATTAGTCATACGTTTATTGAGGCCCGATAGGGTTTTGTCTGTAGTTAGTAGCTGGTTTTTAAGGTCTAGCATATCGGTAATCAGCTTCGACTGGCCAGCCGATAGCTTTCTTAACTCGTTCATTACGTCCTCAATACTGGGAGGGCCAGGGTTGGTTTCAATATCTCCCGCCAAAAGCAAAAGCGACCGCATCGCATGAACACATTCAACAACAATTGTAGCGCAACACCGTGTGCTCGGTAGCTGTATAAGAAAGTAATTGCCAGTTTTTTTTTCAAAAGAATGAGACATTCGACTAACCTGCATGGCGAAAAGCAACGGATTAGTGGTCTGCACTGAAGCACAGCCACCGAGCCCAAAGAGCGTGCGGGACGACAGGGGCGGTTTTATAGCTGACTTGGTGGATGATGTTGCTGACGATAGCGCTTTCCAGGGTGATTGGGAAACCAAAAAGGGCAGTGGCGGCGCTGTTGGGCACGCTGAATCGGTCGCGGACGGAGCAGGGCAGGGGCCCGCACCGGGCGTGCTGGAACGGTGTGCTGCGATCGCTGTAGCTTGGGGGAAGGCCAGAATTGCGGGCAAAAGTAGTCCAGTGAAGAAACTGTGGACCTGCATGGCGAAAAGCAACGGATTAGTGGTCTGAGCTGAAGCACAGCCACCGAGACTTGCGGACACTCAGCGGACACTCAGCATTGACTTGGATCGAAAAAAAAAAACATTTAATTCAGCCGCATTTCTACATTTTCCTAGCCTTGAAAAACAGCAAAAAAATTGACCCCATATCTGCATGTTAATCTGCAAATGTCGTCGAAAGACGATAATCTTGCGTGTGGAGAGAGTGTACAAAACATTTATTTGATGTCCTGCGCAAGAAAATCGGTGAACGGTATTCTGAAGGCGCTACGTTACAGTGCCTCGAGAGTGCAGCGGAAGCGAACGAGCGCATCAAGTCTTGTCACACGTGAGACATGGGCGCCATCTGGCCGTTTTTTTTGGAAAACAAAGTGCGTCGCTCTGAGACGGGTGTGCGCGCCCGTATCAGAGGTGATACGGTGTAGAAAGCAAGGCGACGGGTAGGTGCCACCACCGTCTCGTCTTAGCAAAGTGTTGAAAACACTCGCCTTTTCGTTCAAGCGTTGCATGGTCAGCGCAGTGTGATAAGCGCTACGGTCCTTAATATTGCCTATGTATGCCTGTTCTAGTAAAAGGCGCACATGAGAATATACACGAGTTTTTATGGTGCCCCAGGCATGCTAAATAATTGCTTTTTAATTGATAATTGCACAAGTATGAACGCTAAACTTTGAACAACATTGGTGGGTGGACGCTGTGGATGAGGTCGGCCGTTTTAAGTACCTAGTGCCGTTGAGAGTGCACAAACAGACAAATATACAGACAGACAGACAG